CCCACGCACAGGACCAACGGTTCCCCATCAGAGAGGGGCAGCCATCCTACTGGCTTGGCACCAGCCATGTCTGAGGACTGACGGCCACCGCAAGAAAAGTGCAGACATGAATGGAGTCTGTTTGCAGTTGAGAAGAAAGACAACACAACAAAACAACACAACACAACACAACAACACAATTCAACACTTACACATGTTGTGCTTGTGTCATTGTTGACATTGTTTAACAGACAAAAATGCTTTTGTCCTTTAACGGTAAATGTTTATAAATGCAAACTATTGTTCTTGTATTTTTTTTTTTACATTTACTCAAACAAACTGTAACAAATTGACTTTAATTCAAACATTGCTGCGACAAAACCTGACATTTGCTGCGGGAGGATTTACCCCACTTGTCTTTGCCCCCTGCCAAGAGGCGAGGGCTTCACCTTTTTACACTTGGCACGACCCTCTATGTGTTCACCAGCAATGCCATCAGATTATGCAAATCCATGGTGATGTCCCATTCAACACTACCTCCATTTAAGACATAGATATTGGACCCAAGGCTAAGGGTGATAAAAGAGGCAGTGTTTCGGAGAAGGGTCAAAAACGGATATAAATAAAATTATTTTTAAAAAAACACAAATTGTTGACTATCATTATGCAACACCCTCACTGTTTTACTTGATTTTTAAAAACGTAGTTTCATGAATTTTCTTCTTGTCTGAATGCCAGCTGCTGTCACAGTCACAAACACATATGAGAAAATATAGAGTCAGAGAGAATCATGGGGAAAAAACAACAAGTGAGCAACAAAGTGATCTGAGAAATGAATTAAACTCTTTGTTATTCATGGGAAAATGGAGCAAGCGTGTTAAGTTGCACAATTAAGGCATCATTTGCCAAAGAAAAGTGCAGGTCTTTGTTTGTTTTCGAGGGGGACAAAAAGGTTGAGAAAGCGTGTTTTAGATCAGTGTGGTGAGATTCACAAGGGTGGGTTTGGTCATCTGGTGTGCCACAACAAGAGACACTTTTGTCACCAGCACAGACAGTGTGACATTGGAAAGTGCTCTAGATAAATCAGATAATTTTGCATGGTAGTAAGACAAAGGGTGCTATACATTCCAGTTCCTGTGTGTCTTCATAAAGGGACTGTGAGTAAAAGAGGAGGCAAATACAACAGCACCAGCTAAGTAATTTCCCAAGACACCTCCAACAGAGTGGTCTGGTTTAGGTTTGAAGGCCTTCTTGTTGAAGATGAATGGCATTAAGGTTGACAACAGCAATGAATTATTCTTTTCTTTTTTTTAAATTTGAATTTAGAACACCCACAGTGAACATATTTCCAAATTATTGTGTTTCAGTTAATGATTAAGAGAAAAATACTAAATAAAAACATATATTTATATTAAAAAAAAAATCTCGCTGTCACTCATTTGCAGATAACACTTCTTATTTATGTACTATGTATATTAAATGATCAAGGTCTCTTTGATATAAAGTCTGGGGTTTGATTTTAAACAATTTCTCGTGTACTTGTGGATTGCGTCCAAGTCGAGGCTGTGTTGCCAGGATTTTTTTCCAAACATACGCTTCAGTGACAAGTGGAGAATATGGAAAGTGACATCATGAATCAAGAGAAGGCAACATGAAGCTTTAAGGGAATCTGAAAGGCCGTGTGTGTGATGTGGTCAGACGGTCACACGGCCAAGACACCTGACAAACTTGACGCCCCGGTCGACTACTTGCAAGGCCAAATAAGAAAGGGTCAATAAAACCCAGAGGTGCTAATATGCTCCCTGTGCGCTTGGCTGGACTCATGAGGGGCGAGCATGGTATGTTCAACCTTTTGTGTGGCCGAGATGACGGCTGCTCCTCCGTATTTAGCTGTGTCCGGGGGCCAGCGTAGGGCCAGCGAGGTGGGGCCCCGGAGCCCTGCAGGTCACACTCTGAGGTCAGGATCTGAGTAACCAATCCAGTGAAAGAAACGAAGCAGGAAT